GTGAGGACTACGATACAAAAAAAACAGAAACAGAACTGTAAAACCATCTGCTAAATTACTATTGAATTATTGAATATTGAATTGAAAGCCTTTATTATTCAGTGCATGTTGTATTTCCTGATATCTGAATGTGTGCCTCAGGATGACTGAACAAAGTACAAACACAACAGACAGCGAGTGACAGAAATGTGGGATCCATAGTGTCTCTTGTGGTTCTATACGGCCCTGCTTGAGTTTCAATACTTTTAAATAAGAATTCTTTCTTCTTTTTTTTTTACTGGGAGGCTTTACTTTTCAGTTTCACCATAATATAACAGTCATTTATGCTAAACCTATTTTAGAGTTTTGGTGTAAAAAAAAATACATCTGTTATTTGGCTGTGAAGTAATTTTAGTCTGTTCTTACTGATTAAAACTGTGTTGAAAATATTCCAGGTTTAAACACATTGCACAATAATCTTTGCAGCATATACTCCTGAGTGAAAACCATTTCTTTGCGCAATTCTGCTCATGTATCCGTGCGTAATGGACGCACGGATATGGTGCCAGATTGCATCGCCTCCCGCCACACTTGTTTTCACCGGTATCCCAGCATGTGACTCGCTCAGACCTCCTGGTTGGTTCGCATGCTGCTCGTTGGCTGATGTCAACAACAGGGAAAAACCCTAACTTCCTTGTACCGGCTGTGACACAGAGGGAGGCTGCTCGGCAGTGATCTGCAGAGTCAGTGTTCACGTGAAACCCGCGGTGAACACACACGCACACTTCCCAAATAGAAAGACGCGTCTGACGCACAGGTACGTTTGTCTAATTTTGTGAAGTTTCAGGTGAGGCGGAAACAGCAGGAGCGACTTTTTAAACACTTATACTTCTGCCCTGTGTTTCCATTGATATGCAACTAAAGGAGAAACCGTGGAGTCTTAACAGTTTGGAGATTCAAACCAGTCAGATACTGGTCCCTCCCTGTTCACGTTTGATTTAAATGTACTGATGCATGTTCTCAGTCTTCTCCAGTGTCTCAAATTATTCTGTGGATTAAGTTTAATAGGAAATCTTTGTAGTTCACCATCATTTACAGGCAAAGGGAAAATAGATGAATCCAGTTCCAGCCTCTGAAATGTGAGAATGTGCTTCTCATTTATTTATTTGACTGTAAAATGTTTTTTTGGGGACAAAATAAGACATTTGAAGATTTCACCTGTTGCTCAAGCAAACTGTGATGGTAACGTATGTTTATTGATGATGAGAACATCCATTAGTACACAAATAGAAAAGTGGCAAAGTAGGTTTAAGACTACAGGAAATAGGGCTGCAACTTATCACTTTAGTTTTATGATTTTTTTATTTATCTGTCTATAAAATGTGTGATAAGTACTGTATTACGGTTATCCTCGGTTTCCCGAAGTCCAATGTGCTGTCTTGATATTGCCTTGTCACTCGAATATACTGAATTCACTGAAGAAAAGCAGAATCGAGGTGAATTCGGCTTAAACAATCAAGTAACTATGAATATTTACTCAGGTATTGAACGTAAATACAATTATACGCTGCTTTTTTCAAATATTTAAATTTGGGTCTACTACTCCGTAACAATTCCCAGATCAGTTCTTCGTTTTGCTGCATGTATTTAACAACATTTAGTCACTTTGCAGAGAAGGTCTTGAAAATCTTTATTGGTTCTAACGTAATATCCTAGGAATTGTTAAAGAAAACATGAATCCATGATATCGATGATACTTTTAAATATATTTTGCTAATAATGCTATGTTTACTTTGATTGCAGTATAGCTACTTTCACTCATGCAAATAATCTCTAAAACTTTCTCCACGACCGGTGTGAATCGACTGATTGATTAATTTGCTCACAGTTGTGGCTGTAACACATGGTAATCAAACGTCTCTGTCTTTCTGGACTGCAGACCTGACACTGGAAACGTTTTTAGGACATGAATGAGCTACGCCGAGGACGAAGGGATGAATGCTGAAGTTTTTAAATCTGTGCACCCGTGGAGTAAAATCCCAGCCTGTTGGAACCCCACAGACTCTGCCGCTGCTGCATGGATCTTCCCCTCACTCCTCCCTGTGCAAAACACCTCCCGTCCGTCCTGTGAGAAAATGTCCTCTGCTGAACCCGACCCATCCCTGGACCCCGAGCAGCTGGAGGCCCAGATGGACTTCTTCCTCAAGCTGGGATACTCCACGGCTCAGGTTCGGTCCGTTCAGCAGAAGTTTGGCCCCAGCATAGACACAGATAAAGTTCTGGGGGAGCTGATGAAGATGGATCAGGAGCCCAAACAGGTGCCGGTGACCATGATGTCGGTGGTGCTGCCCAGAGGGGACCCCCAGGCTGCGGGCCCCACGCTGCAGCTGCCTGTCGCCGTGTCGACTCCTCGGACCAGAGAGGAGAGCAGCGAGGATGAAGATGCCCTGAGACCCATCGTTATAGACGGCAGCAATGTGGCCATGAGGTGAGAAACTGGCCGCTGACTCCACACAAAATAAATAGTTTCATCTGGTTTTTCAGGCAAATTTACCCCAAATTCATAGGTTGTCACTTTTTTCTTATTATTTAAATCATTATATAGATAAATATATCATCTGCTTTATGTTGATTAATCAATTAGTTGATCAAATGGCAACTATGTGGATGATCAAATAATATTTTAATTCATTTTGAGCAGTTGGCATTTGTCGATTATTTTCTGTCAGTTGACTTAAAGGAGAAAATTAATGTAGTTATAATTGACAATGAAAATAAATGCAGCCGTGATATGACTGGAAACTGAATATCGGTGTGATTGGGGATATTTGACGACATCAGCACTATAAGAACTTTCTTTAACTCTGTGTTTTATTTAATTTATCTCTTTAACTTTCATTAAATCTATGAACTTGAATTTAGTTTAAGCTGAGACCAAAGTGTTTTTTACAGATTAGTAGAGCCTCATACATTTCTGATCAGTTCTGAACGGTTGACCTGACGATATTTTAGTCTCAGTGACAGTTTTCATGATTGGTGTTTTAGAAACTAAGATTGTGTGTGTGATTCTCTTTCAGTGGCACTGCCCCTATACCCTGTTAGCGTCATCAGCACAATTAACACTCAATTAAGTTTATTTAACTTTAAAGCATAATTTTTAGTCAAACGTGTAATTAACGTTAACTGCGTCAACACAATCTTATAATTATGATGTTTAAAAGATTAGCAACTCTGCGGGGCTCCTCGAACTAACGCTTGGAGCTAAATGCAAACGTCAGCATGCTAATATGCAAATGTTTTACTTTTGCAGCATGTGTCGTGTCGTGTTCAAAAAACTAAAAATCAAATAGATGAAGTAAAACTAATCACATCTTAAGGTCACTAGGAGTTTTGTGCTCACAGAGACAATGCTAACTAAGGTAATCTTAGCTTTTATAGGTATAGGTAACATTTTCAAAAGTGCCAAACTGTAGCAGTAGTCGAAAAAGATTCATGTCACGTGTGTCACAGTACAGTTAAACACGTGGCTGTGTTTTAACATGACCAAGAATTCAACACGTGTATCATTATGTGTGATTATCAAATTAATTGCAATTCATCCTGTGGTTGTATGTGAATGTCCTAACTACCACAATTCAATCCACCTATAGTGGTTGAAGCATTTCAGTCATGTCATCGACAGGCAAACAATAATAATCAATGGAACTTGGCACAGTTGATTACAGAGGAAAAATGATCTTGTCAATTATCTCGCAATTACGTCAACATTATGTCTGATTTCAAACTAAGACTTCAAACGGTTCTTTCTTCCACGAGCTGCCCCTCCACCGAGTGTAGTAAAAATCAATTCAGCACTATTTGCATAATCCTGCCGATAAACAAACACATAGACGTGTGGAGGCAGAAGTGAAATAAAAAAATAATTTGGTTCTAAATCTAAATGACAAATTGTCGGGTTGAACAGGTTTGAGGTTCAGGGCACGTAATGGTTGCTGGCTCTGTATTTGCATTTCTCGTAATTGATCAACACCAGTTTAATTGTGTCAAATGTCATTTAACTCGGAGCACAATACACTTCTGCACACACAATTACAGCTTCACTCAGCCACCGGCTATTATGTGGTTGGCAGAGAGGCCATCGTGTTCCCAAAGACAGTTGGTTCAATTTCTTCTGTGTTGGCGGTTGCCATAGAGAAGCAGGAAGTGCTGTTATCTGCACCTCTAGGAACGATCCATGACTAGTCATTACGGGAAGTCTGTCTGTGTGTGTACCCAACCATTGCCCTCATCCTCATTATCACGCTGAGACACGCACTAACGCGCAGTTGGAGGCTAGATGGTTCCGGAAATGGACGTGAGAACGAGGAAAACCAAATACATTGTATGTACTCGGTGTGTGCAGAGCATACACACCTCACTGTGCTTCTGCCTCTCCCAGCCAGGCACGCCCGTTCAGGCATGTTGTAAACTAGCTGCTCTAGTATGCAAATCAGGGCGCTCACATAGGCGTGTGCCGCTTTTTGTTTCCTTGAGGACCTTCAATGCTTGCAGAAAAAAAACCCTATTTCAACAGCTACACCAGTTCACCCTGCCGAGTTCCTATAGGCTGAAGTCTTTCCTTGTCTTCTGACTTTAAACTTGACACATGCAAAAAGCCTCGGAGGCCTCTGAGCACGTACGAGTGCTGTGTTGTCACAGTGAGGCTTTGTTTAAGTAAATGCATAAGGAAAGTATTTTCATAACTAATCCACGGTATTTCTTTGGGCTGCTGATATTGATTTGGAGAAACTCAGTGGATGGTAATTGAACTTTTTAAAGCCAAGCAACCAGTGTAGTTTATTTGTGCTATGATAGTTAATGTACTTTTACACAATTGTACAAATTAAATAACTGTTTCCCATTTTTGCCCGAAATTCTCTTAGAAGCTCCTCAGATGTGAATTAACTTCCTTTTCAAACATAGTAAATTTGATGCAATCTTTGAGAACTTAATGACAGACTGTTTTTTATTTTTATGTTATCTATTAGATATTAAATTGATCAATTTATTTTATAAATATCTATAATGATTATCAGGACCGTAATTGATGCATCCTCTGTCATCAGTGACTCAGTTAGTTAGTAGAAAGTCAGAAATACCGTGACCTAGATGAGGGTAATCATTAAAGACTTCATCGCCTTACTCACCATGAGAAAATCAGACGTGTGGGTTCATCCTGTTGTGATCGGGTTCAGTGATAAGAGCTGTGATCATCAAAGATTATAAAACGTCACTCTTTTAATGAGAACTGGCTCGGCGTGACGCTTTCATTCCTAAACGCTTTGTGTTTCATTTGTTAATGTGTGACATTTTCCTTTGTCTCATTCGTATCTCCTGGTTTCTATTGACTCACAAAGCCACGGGAACAAGGAAGTCTTCTCGTGTCTGGGAATCCAGTTGGCTGTGAATTTCTTCTTGGACAGAGGTCACACCAATGTCACAGTGTTTGTTCCCTTGTGGAGGAAGGAGCAGCCGCGGCCAGATGTTCCCATTACAGGTAATGTGATCGGACGTCAGTGTGTGAACTACTTCCTTCTTTACCTGGCACTGTACACACAGTCTCAATCATTTGTTGGAATGGTCATCAGAATGGTTCAAGAAAAACAACTGCAGGGTTCAGTCGCTCACATGCGTGAATTTTATATTTTCCCCTGTCGTTTATCCTTGTAAACTGAATCTGTTTGGATTTTAAAGTATTTAAACATCAAAACTTTTGTTCTTGGAGGTATTAATATAGATTTTCACTGTTCACTTCACAAATAAAACAAGGGTGCATTTCTCGGAAATGGGAAAGACCCGATGTAGGTTAACCTTTATCTGTGATCTATTCAGCTTCAACCTCGAAAGATCAAAATGTGTTTTTTCGGACTCTTTGTGAAACTGAAACATAAGCGTCAATTATTACAATGCCCTGATGTGGCTTCAGACTCTGAGTGTTTGCTTTATGTAGATGAGCAGTTTGTGCTTCACAGCAGCAGGATGTTTGTTGTGGGCCTTTAGTTAATATGTAATCAGGGTAAATCTATTTGCTCTGTGAAACCCTGACAAACTGTAATTATGAATATTGGATTAGATTAGGTTTGCTGAGCAGTTCACAGTTTCACATCCTCACACTGACTAATCAACTGTTATTTAATGCTGGAGATACACAAACAGACAGAGCAGGTCACTGAGTTCACTTTCTCTGCCTGCTTGCTTGTCATGACTCTAATTACAACGTGTGTCCTCAATTATCACCTCATGCATCCTCACGTGTTGTTCACAGATCAGCACATTCTGCTCGACCTGGAGAGGAGGAAGCTCCTGGTGTTCACGCCGTCGCGGCGCGTCGCAGGCAAGCGAGTGGTCTGTAATGACGACTGCTTCATCGTCAAGCTGGGCTACGAGTCTGACGGCATCATCGTGTCCAACGACATGTATCGGGACCTTCAGGGGGAGAAACCGGAGTGGAAGCGCTTCATCGAGGAGAGGCTGCTCATGTACTCCTTCGTTAATAACAAGTTAGTCTTCCCTCGCTGCTTCCAAAGTGGAACATGATACAGATAAATGAAAAATGTGTCTGTTAGAAAGAGGAGGAGAGACGTTTCCACTTTTAGACTAATGTTAAATTTTCACTCTGATGCAGGTTTATGCCTCCTGATGATCCTCTAGGCCGCTATGGACCAACTCTGGAGAACTTCCTGCGGAAGTTTCCAAAGACGCAGAAAAAACTCCTGTGCCCTTATGGTGAGAGCACGTCTACGATGTGACCCAGATGCTGACTTGTGTTTAATGTGTTGAGCTGCACCAGACTTGTTCCTATCGTCTGTCAATGATCATCACTGCTAAACCTTTCGTTCCTCTTTCAGGAAAGAAATGCACTTACGGAATCAAATGTAAATTCCACCATCCTGAGCGAGCCAAACAGTCCAATCGCTTGGTCGCCGATGAGCTTCGGGAGAACGCTAAGCACCCTTCAGCTGCTCAGAAACAGTCCTCAGCTTGTTCCATTCCTGTCCCGGGACAGAGCCTCTTGTTGGTGGAGGACATGGCCAAGAAACTGAGTCTGGGACACGAAATCGGCTCATTGAAGAAAGATCATAAAAACGAACATGTAGCTCAGGTGAAGACGGGTCACCGCTCCAGCAAGAAGCCGACGTGCAGAAAGGAAAGAGGCAGCTTCCACTCCTCCTCGGACCACGGCTCAGTGCGTGAATCTCAGCTGGACTCTGGTTTGGGCTCCATTGACAGTCAGCCAATGGAGGCTCCCTGGATTACTGATTGCCAGTATGGGGCGACGTACAGGGGCTGCCAGCATTTCCACAGTGTCCAACAGCAGCACGGCCCTCAAGCACCATGCAGCTGCTGCTCACACGGTCCTCCCTCTCAGGGGAGTGCACCACCTTTCCACCACCACAGCCACCATCATAGCATCGGGCCCGTCAGCAGCCACAGCTCTGATACGTCCCCCTACGGCCCACCTCATTACCATGGCTACCCAGCGTACCCGGTCAGCATGCCTGCTGCATACAGTCAGCCGGCTGATTTCCAGCACGGCAGAGTCCACAACCGACAGCAGCAGACGTACTGGTCCGATCCATTTGGGGGTCATCCTTCGTTGGTCCGCCACCTGCCGGCGGAGTGCTCCCAGTGGGAGCCCCCTCAGGCAACCCAACCCAGCAGAGAGGAGCGAGAGGTTGTTCGCAAGAAGCTCCTCGCCATCTTCAGCGCCCACTTGGTGGACACGGCCATGGAAATGTTCCCTCAGTCGATGGATCCACAGATGCTTGTCGCTGAGATCCTCAGGCTGCAGAGTCAGAACCGGCCACTGAGATGAGACCGTCTTTCAGTGCAAAGACTAGAACAGCTGCAGAAATTGTGATAAACATGAGTTTCTGTATTTTTTTGTATTGTGGTATCCACCTTGCTATAAATAGTTTTTGCAGTATGCAGTTGATACAAATTGTATCTTTAATTAAAATGTAGAAAGAAAAGTTGATTTTTATGGCAACATATTGGGGTTAACGGGGAGTAACACCCTGATACTCACAGCGTACTGTACGGAGTGGCCTGGATGAGATGAATATAAATATGTGTTTGTGTCATATTGGCACTGTGCAACATTTACGCTCTCGCTGCCAAATATCCAATGAGTTGGGCAACAATGAAACTCCACCAACCCCTCAGTTAATGTGTCATGGTGTAATGATAATGTCCTGTTACTGTGATGCACAATTAATGTTTAATCTCACAGATGATGAGATTTAAATCTGCTTTTTAATGCTTTATATTCTCTGCTCAGTGTGTTTAATTTAACGTTTCTACCATAGATACTGTTGCTCAGCCCTGCCACAGTTTGCTGTAGACACTCTACTCAAGTTTTGAAAACGGGGCAGTTTTCTGTGACAATCATGAGAAATGAGATGTTCAGAGTTAATCAGTTGCTTGTCAGTTTGACACAAACGTACGTACCTCTGGGTAATTTGTCGTCACATTAATGAGTCACAAACTGACTTATGGTCATGAATATGACATCAATGGCAAGGTTATGAAATAAAAATAATAATGACAAATAATCACGTCTCAGTGGGTCCATCAAAATATTTTTGTGAGTGTGTGTGTGTGTGTGCATATTTTCCATCACACCTAATCAAGTCTTTTGCATGAAATCAAATCTTCACACGAGGAACAGGAAATAGGAAACATTTGGAATGACGTAAATGTTTAAATCTAATAATCGCACAATCAATTAATCAACTTATTAACGCAAATCTATTGTGTCATTACAGAAGATTATTAAATAATGCCTTGAAATCTGATGATTGATGTAGAAGAATGCGTCACTGAACATGTATGTTGTCTTTGCGGCGTGTTTTTTACTGTAAAATATCTCCTCAATGCAGACTGATGGAGCAGAGTCAACAGGTCACTGGTGGAGCAGGTTAAAACAAACATTGTGAGCCGCCATGAACTGTCACAACTTGCTCTCCAACACTGAAACACATTTTTCACAGCAGAACTAAGAGTCAGATAAACCAAAGCTCAGCTGTACTCCAGCGTCATCCCAGCTCATCTACACAGAGACAGAGGAGAAGCAGAGGCAGTGCGGGTTGTTCCGATTAAATTACGTCAAATGAGGTTACAATAAGATCAGATAATGATCAGTTCTGTCGGTATCCACGTGCAGAGAGGAAGAAAAGACTCATTTAAATCAGTCATGGACAGATGAAACATGCTTCTCAAATTTAATTTAATGGTTTTAGCTTATCTTTTTTTCTTCATATGTTTTTCCTACCGAGCACATGAAACAAACAAAGCAACAAGCTGCTGGAAACCTGTGACCTGTGCTCCAAAGACTCATTACTCATCCCCAGAACCCGTTTTCCATTCCTGCACTTTCCCTCCTTACAGTGCAATTTGATATTGAACTAGACTGAAGCACTCAGTATGAAACCACATTTAAATCTACTGGCTCCAGATTTTTATATGATCTGCGCAAGTTGCACACACTCATAAATATCAGTCCTATAAACAGGCCTGATTTCTTTCATCAAGATCCGCGAATTATTCTCTGAGAAATCAATGAAAATGTTGAAAAAAATGTCTCAGGATGTTAAAGAAACTGAAAAATAAATCCTGGATCTGCACCCTGATCCAGATCCAAGCCAAACTGTTATGGGTTCCTCCTTCGGTCATAGGGTTAGGGTTCCAGAATGTTTCATGGTTTTGCATAATCCTGCTAACAGACAAACAAAGAGAGAAAAACAACCTCCTGGGTGGAGGTGAGAAAAGCAAGACATGTATACACACACCCAAATACATATGCAAATTACTGGCACACGCACGTTGTAGGCCTCTGAGTGCAGGAGTCAACTTGTGGAACAAGAAAAAAATTTGTTTTTCTTATTTCAGAACAATTAGATGAAATAAAATAAAACGTTAAGTGTAATCGATGTGAAAAATACATAGAAAATACTATGGAAACAATGAATTATCAGTGAAATTTATAGTATATAACATGCACTTTTAACATGGTAGAAATGTTTTTATGTAGGTAAAGTTCAATGTACTATGAACATTCATTCAGTTTGAGCACAAGTATAATTTTTTTATATATTTGTACTTGACTTCTAACCACTCGATTTCAGAGCCACCGCATGAATTGCTTAGCGATAGTTGACATTTCGTCATCACAAGAGACGATTATCATATTTTAACAATATTATTTATACAGTGACACTAAATACATTGTTATTCTGCAAACATCTGACTAAATTCAAGTTTAAATCTAATAATCCAAACTCTACGATTGATCATTTCAAAGGTGACAAATGCTTGTAGAACACAGAAACATTTCCTGAGGGCTGTACTCACATACAGACACACACAGATAGACTCGCTCTTCACCTCACATGTTTAAAATGCCATTGTGAAGCATGACTCATTCTTTCTGCAGCTTATATGCAAATATCAGAGGCTGGAGTGTGTGCGGGGAAAGACTCAGCATAGGAGTGTTCACAAGTCAAGACTTGGCAACTTATTTCTACATGTTCATTTAGAGCCAGAGAGAATGAGACAAGTGTACAGTGTGTTCACAGTATCTCCTCCCTTCCTCTAATGATGCAGAAGTTTCTTGTTGTAATGGAAAGTAAGTATGCAGCTGCAAATGTCACGTTAATGTCACCTACTTTCTGGTGAAAAAATGCCAAAAACAGGTCATTCAAAATAAGATATTCATCAACATCAACCACTCATCAACTTCCTTCACTGTTCTAATGCAGTAGTGAAACAAACAAACGAGGTGGAATTTCCTGTGTTACTTTCTCATCTAGAAAGAGAATTAATTTATGGATCATTTAAGGGCAGGGAAATGTGTAGTTGCTCATAAAATCATCTGCAGCACATGTAACACAACTTTCTCAGGTAAATAAAAACAACCCAACAGGTTACACGTGTTTGATAATGGTGCTTCCTGCTGGACTGATGCAAAAATAGCTTTTCACTTTAGTGCAAAGTTGCAGCAATGAAACTAAATTTAAAGAGGAGTCAAGTATCGAGAAATTACAAATTCTCCTCAATAGGTGTTACAGAAAAAGATGAATTGGAAAAGAAGGAAGAGAATTTCAACATTAAACAAAAAAGATATTGCTCCTTTAGTAGCTGATACTTAAATTAAGATCACTTAATTGTATTTCACTTTATTGTTTTTTATAAAACAAAAGTATTTGCTTCTAACACTATATGTCTATATATTGGACTTTATCTTATACAAATACAGTATATACTCACCTGGATGTTAAGGGACAGAAACTTTTTGCTCATGTGTACTAGCCACTAATTCGTGTTTGAATTATGTGCTGACGATTGTCATTATTATTACATTTTTGTTAATTTATCAATGTACTGATATTGAAGTGGGGGGGGGGGCAGTGCTGCTTTATAATAATTAGTAATAACAATAATTACTAATATTCAGTTTTTTTAAATATATTTTAATTTTTAATATCACATGATAACTATGAGTATTGTTATTATTATTATTATTATTGGTTGTAGTAATAGGAGGAGCTAAAACTAGAAGGGACTACATTACCCAGGAGTCAACTGGTCCCTGCGCAGCCGCAGTCTGATTGTATGACGCTGGTTTTCGCTGTGTGTGGCTAATGTTAGCTAACAAACACAGGCTGCAGTGATGTAGTTCACAGAAGAGCCACTTTAACCTGCGTACACGGGCTAACGTTAGCTAACAAATGCTAACACATGCTAAGAGTCTTCGCCGGGCTTGAGGACGCTTCACCGGGGGCTCCGATCGTCAACCCGCCCGCTCGCTCGCTGGCTACACGCTAGCTAACTCGCTGGTGTGAGGTTAGCGATGTGCTGCGGTTTGTTTCGGTTAGCCAGCCTAGCCTATTAGCTTAGCTGCCAGGCTGTGTTGTTTTTTCTGTTCGAGCTGATACAAACACACACACACACACACACACACACGCACACACACGCCACCGTCCCCGTGTTTGATGCCGCTGCTGCTGTCAGGAGTCCGGCTAAGATGTGGCAAAGTGTCGGGCTCACGCTGCTGGTCATCGTGGCCACGCTGGTCTGTGCGCTGCTCTTCATGTTGTTTGGTGAGTTTCAAACATGACAAACCGCAACACATGACCTTTAACACATGTCCTGTGGCTCGTTGGACACGTGTGACCTGTGTAACTTTAACCCGAGGCCGCTGCTAGCTAATATAGCTGTGGTCAATATAATGAAACACGAACATTGAGTGAGAAATAGCTGTTTACAAACTTAAAACGTGGAACTGCTCCTTTACCGTTGCCTCATGACAGTTCAGTGTATTGAGTGTCTTTGACCGACAGGTTTCTATTTATATCATGTGCCCAGCAGGAGTCAGGAGGTTGCTCCTCCACCATCCCTCTAACTCTTCTTCTTCCCCTCACAAACTTATCTTCAGCCTGAGACTGGGAGGTCTGGAGTTGGTCTGGAAAGGTTTCAGCCTGGAGAGAATCTAATTCACGTTGTTTTATTAGACAGTTGACGTCAGTTCCTGTTCTTCTTGCCGCTGACGATGCTTGTTTATGACCCGGGTCTGACCTTTAACATCCGTCCACAAGTGGACAGCAGTTAGTGTGTGTGTACATGACCGCTCCCAGAAAGTGAGGCCAAAACATCTGGATTGCTCCGTGGTGGCTGGCTGCACTATAGGTCATATGCCCAGACATGTTCGTATATATATAGGTTGATGAATTAATAGTTCTGGACCAAAGTAGGTTAGGGGGACGTAAATAAACGTTTGCACAGTTTGGTTTTAGAGAACCAGATCATTTGTTGTCAGTGAGCACACATGACGTCAGCTTTTTCACCGCACTGTACCATATGTTTTCTTGGAAATGACGTGAATTCAAAAACATGTTTTCAGCGTAAGTGCTGAAAACAAAGAGCACTCTGTAGTTTCCATGTCTCCCTCCTGTCTGCATTTGATCCAGGAAATCAGGTCAAGTCAGAGCATTGAAAGATGGAAAAATACACGTTGCTTGGGGTAATAACACTTTCAGGATTTCTTTCCTATAAAATCTCTTCTCTCTCCCCCCCTCAGGTTGGTATGTAGTCTGGCAGCTCTTCTTATCCAAGTTCAAGTTCCTGCGTGAACTTGTCGGGGACGCTGGCACCCCGCAGGCTGAAACTCAACCGTCCGAAACCAAGAGCGAACGTACCGCTAACGCCCCGGCTCGAAATCGGCCCAGGACTGCACGCCAAAGAGTTGCCTCTCCAGAAAGCACTTCGTAGATCACCCTGACAGCCACTGTGTATCTGCTCATGAAACCGGTCTCACCCTGATGCTACAAACGTCGCGTGTGATCATCAGAGATACTCCCCCGCCAACCCCGCACTCTACACTACTCCCCCCTCACCAGGACACTTTAAACCAACCAGGAAGAACTTCTGGTTTCAAAGGGAAAAGCCATTAATGTACATTGCTGTCCATTTCTCTATGTCCTGTGTTCATATGTTTATGTACCGAGCAGTGACACCAGGGCTCCGCTCTGTCCCACAGTCATCCTGCAGTAGTGACGGCCGGCGTTCATGAGCTCCCATGCTGCTTCCTGCCTCTCGGGAAGTGTTAAGCTGCTCCTACACACAAAGAGATGAATTCATTCTCTTGTGTACATGTTGTAATCGTGTATTTTTAGCAGATGTTGGCAGAAAAACTGTCCACGCTGAGCTCGTCCGCATCATTTCAACAAGAACAACTGAAGATAAACTGAAACCGTGATATGTACAACTGACAACTTCACTTTCTGTAAAACATAGAGCGCAATGAAGGGACTGTTCACGGTGTCATTTTGCTGTTCCTCACACAGTGAATTATGGGGCAAACTGTCTCGTGAAGTAGATGATGCCCAAAGCCTCCAAAAGAAGCTGACAAATTGTCACGGTTTCATTTCAGTAAAAATGGGACCTGTTCTTGCAACTTCTCCTTCACACTTTTTACACATTTATACTTGAAGAGTCAGGAGATTGTTTCGAGGAAGTGACAGTTGGTGTTTAGAAGCTGCTACACGCATAGTTAGCTGAAGTCTAGGAGAAGAGGCAGATAAACCTGCACGAGAGAGGTCTGAACCTCCTCCCGCTCCCTGTGCCTCTGTCTGTACCAGTGCCTGTCTCGATGGCATCCACTGTTTGTTACCCGGCCTCCAACAGTAACTTAGTGCTCATTACAGAGCGAGTCGAAGCTGACCAGCGCCTGGTCGATATTCCCTCCAGGTACAACTCATGTAACTCTTGCACCTTCTTATCAGCGATGATTTTTTTTTTTTTCTTCAGAGGAGCTGTAGCCTCAAATAAATAATGCCATGAATATGCTGATCTCTGTCCTGTTTTGTTTAAAATGAAAGTGAGTGAAAAGTCCCTGTGGTGCCCGTGAGACTGATCCTTTTTTTAATAATAGTGAAGCAGGATAGAGAAAGAAATGTCCTTGTTTCATTATTCATTATTACATTATTACAGCTAGAACCATGAGTCAATTGACAGTAAATTAATTGGTAGCTACTTCGATAATCGACTAGCTTTTTCTAATGTTGACATTTCATCTGTCAGACAAAAGACAGTTGATTTCACACAAGACTCTGGTTATTGTTTGACTGTTGAAATGATTGATTTAGAAAACATTCACCAGTTCAACCGAAGAACAGAATCTGAAAGGTTGATCAGACAGAGCCGACTCGTGGTCGTGATGAAACCTTGTGTTACAGCAGCCTGAACTGTCTCCAACAACTTACGGGACATTATCTGGAGCTGTAGTGTTTCCTTCCTTTTATCTGTGACGTTTGAGGACAGAGTCAGTCCAGTTTGATAAAACTCGTCCCTTAAAAGTCTGAACGTCTCAGCTCCCTGACGTCCTTCTACAGTTTGACCACAGGGGGACAGTATCGCACTAATACAAAACAACATTGAAACGCACCTGAGCCTGGAGGTGAGTATTTGTGAGAACTAAGAGCGGACAGTAACTAATTACTTTTGCTCAAGTAAATGTACTGCACTTCAAAACAGTTTTGAGGTACTTGTACTCTCTATGATACTCAATATTTACACTTTGTTACATTTCAAAAGGTTTTTATTGCATTTTTTATGAGAGAAAAATACTTTGACCACTGTGATCAAGACATTTCTGATATTTAAAGTGGTTATAGACTTTAGTAGTTTTAATTAATTACCCGTCATCCAGCTAAGACATTAAAAGGAATGTATGCAGCAACGTATTAAATATAATCCAGTACTATAACATTTCTGATATTAGGCACATTCTGCTGCATCAGGAGCACTTTTAATAAACAAGACATTATAAACACTACAAGAGTATTTTGAATTCTTCCTCCACCACTTTATAAAGTGTGAAATTTAGTCTTACAAGGTTAATTTGAAATGAAACCATATATTTTTTAGATGAGTTAGTCCTTTGCCTAAAGACTTTCTCATTTTGTTCCACAGATCTGATTCTATTCAACCATTAAAAATAATTCAATTAGTTTTATGTTGCCCACATGTTTTGATCAGAGTAAAGTTAATGACATGGTTTTTTTAAATACTCTGGAACAAACAGGGCAGCTGTTTTAATTTTAAAGGGGAATTTAGAGACAAAAACAGACTCTAAACTTACCAAAGTAAAAAACTAAACAATAAAACAAATATGCAGTGACTCCAGTGAAATCTCTCTCTGCTGTCCGATTTCTAATAGCTGCCATAAATTACTGTCCCAGACAATCAGAGCAGAGAATTAATCTTCTGTGTGTATAAGCTATACTGAGTCTGCCGAGCTTTAAAAGACCATTTTAGTCTCTGACAAGGCTTAATGCGTTTCACCCACAAGGGTCATTAGCTTATTCTTAAACTGCTCGTACTTAATGCAACGATTGTGGCTGCAAACATGCTGCAAAAATCAGAATGCTAACAATGTCTTCTCGAGTTGCAGACTTTAAAAGACAGATTATTCTGAAACGCTTAGTGTTCGTGGGGTAAAGGAAGAGGTTGATTCTTTTTAAAGTTCAACTGATTTGAATTTCACTGGAGCTTGTGGTTTCTAGACCTTTTTCTGTGTCAGTCAGCTCTTTTGAAACTCAAATGAGAATTTCTCTCACGGCTGCGACAAAACTTTTCCTCTCTCTGCAGCAGTTTGCATTTTGAGAACTAAAGAACACACCAAGAATCCAGTGTTGGAAATGTAAGTACAGCTGCACATAAAGTATATTTTCATGGGGATGATTATATACTTTTCCTGGTCTTGTCGTAAAGTAAAGTGTCGTAAGTATGTGTTTCTAAGCATGGAGACATTATTGAAAATGGACAGTTGGGTACTGACAGGTGGAAGCCTGTCACTCCCAGTACTCCTGGTGGTGATTTAGTGTCTCTTTTTGTTTGTTTTTGATTTATTAGTAGTGATTTTATTTCTCTTTAGTCTATAAAAACACCAGAGTCATAACATGCATATTTTATCTACCTCACATTTTATATTAAAGTTCATGAAGTTCATGTTTAGGATCAATCCTGACACCGAATGAATTCGGTCTATGACAGTTTACATGCTGTTACACAGTTTGACCTGTAGGTGGTGCGCTGGGCTACAATGACAGGCGGTCGTGAGGGTGGCGGGAATTCCCCGGAACACCTGACCTGCTAGAGACCGTGACTTCCTGTTAGTGTCGTCAGGTGAGTGAGCTGCTGAAATTCACTGAATGAGCAATAAAATGGTTTAAACGTTAGCGAATGAATTCAGCAATAACTTGTGTAAAACAGCTGAGCGACCGGGAGACGAGGACGAAGGCGCAGTTTGGAATAATCACTTGTTTTAGCATGCTAACTCGAGCTAGCCTGTGCTAACACACCTAAGTCAGGTGGCCGAGTGTCCTGTTATGCTAGCTGGATGGCTAAGCTAAGCTAAGAAAAGAAGAGATAACACTTTATTGATCCCTCGTTGAGGAATGTCACTTATTACAGCTTCAGATAGTCAGAGTGAGGTAGAAAAGAGAATAAATCAGACCGTAGAATGAAAATAGATACACACACAGTTATATACATGTATATATACGATTAATAAAATACGATATATTATATGATTTGTTATCTTGAGGCTCTTTGTGCAATTTTTTCGATTTTCATCTCAATAGTCGTTTTGCATCTTTGTGTGCCCTCGTTGTGTCTTTTAACGGAGCGCTGTGAGTTTCAAATAACAAATACGAACAGTGTCTTTATACAGAGTCTGTTTCGACAGGGGAGCCTTTACCTCTCGGCCCCCTCAGCCTGTGTCTGGTGATCAATTTATTTGTCTACACTGTGATGTTGCTGCTTTTATCCACGCAAAAGGTCTGAGTACTTTACCAACCACTGTAAGAAATATGCGATCAAATGTAAATACGACATAGAGGTGGGTTATTCTGAGTGCAGCAATGGAGACGTTTCACTGTGGTATGACTCAAATGTTGAGAATCCACTCTTTCAGAAGCTCCTGCATCCGTCACTCAGTGGAAACAGATGCAGAAAATTACGAAACCACCCTTACAGTAAACTGACTATATGAGACAAACCTTAGCCTTAAGTTTTATTCATACTAAGGATGCCACCTCTCCCTCAGATCTGGCTGGCTTCATCTCTGCCTGCAGCTGGGGCCTTTTTTCGAAGCCCTGCTGAGCTACGAAGCTGTAATTTCAGAGCCTGCAAATACTTTACAGGAAATGATTGTGGTAAGCCAAGGAAATGACATAGACTCTCCAGGGCCCCTCTAAGTTTCACTTATATAT